GTCCTTCTGACTTACGTCAGTAACTTCAGTGTTTTCTTGAGATATGGCTCACACCCTGTGGTCACTTATCACCAACACACAGACACTCAACTCACATAGGTTCTGTTTGGTTGCTGGGTTACAACTTAGCTTCTTATCTACTTAACTATTTCACACAGTGTCACAGCAATGTTCAGTTTGGTTTCAGAGTTTACAGAGTTAATATTCATCTTTAATTTCTGATTTCTAAATTCCTAATAAATTCCTAATACATTCCAGTACATTCTACTTAAAAAAAAACTTTAGAATCTCAAAGTAAAAAGAAATCACTGATGCCAGGAACAAGGAATTATCATTTATCATCGCATTCCTTTCGGTTAATGGGAGGAAATGAGAGTAACTACTAGTTAAAACAGGATAGGCAGGACCTTTGGCTGTTAACTTTCCAAGCCACGGGTTCATTGTCTGTTAAAATGATAAATTTACCTACTGGGTTGTTTTTAATGACTAAATGTAAGTACAGTATCAATGCCTGGCACCAAAAGGTCAAAAAATGTAATTATGCTAGCTGCTATTGGAATATGGGAATGATAACTTATATTGATCATGTATCCAGCAACCTTGCTGTAGTCTATCATAGGTTCTAGTATTTTTAGTTTCTTAGACTCTCTGTTTAAAACTATATAGCCTAGGAAATAACTATTTCCCTTTCATTCTTTAATTATTGCTCTTGATTATTGCCTAAACTCTCCAGTAAAATGTAAAATACAACTAATGGCCTTACCTGTCCCTAACAGAAAGCATAAGAAAATTTAAAAATTATCTAATACTTGTAGTTTGCTAAGAATATTGGATACTGAAACTTAACAACCCCTAATCATTTAATGAAAGGACACTCCTTATTTCCCATATGTTAAATCAGTGAAAAATTAGTTTTAACATCCTTGTATTCCTGGGATAAATCAGCTAGCCGATGATGATTCAGATTGTTTTCAGATAGACCACATTTGGTTTGTGGTTATGTAGGACATTTGCATCTGTAGTTTTCCTTTCTTTATTCTTGAGACCAAGATTATACTGTTTGTGGTTTTTAAAGGTGGTTCCTATCTTTTCTCTGACAAAGATTTGATAAGCCTGTAAACTTTATTGACCTTTTCCTTATGAATAGATTTATGACCACTGGCCAAATTACTTTAGTGGCTATAGTTATTCATATTTTGTATTATTCTAGAATCAATATATTTTTATTGAAAATTATTTTACCTAGATCTTCCAATTCTGGGTGGTGGTATAGGCCTTTAACCCCAGCACTCAAAAGGCAGAGAGGCATACAGACGTCAGTGAATTTTGAGGCCAGCTTCATCTACATAGGGAGTTCTAGGCCAGCCAGGGCTACATGGTAAGACCCCATTTAAAAAATGAACAAAGCCAAAATGAAAATACAAAACCCCTAAATCGTTAACTTTGTTGGCATGAGTTGATTTATTCAAGTTAAATTTCTTCTTTAGCTTGTCTTTTCCATTCTTAACATTGCTTATGTGTCTCTTGGTTCTTATCACTACTAGTTAAAAGAATCAGCTTTTGGTTTTCTTGCCTTTTTTTTTTATTATGTCTTTGTTTTTTGTTTCATATATTATTTATTGCTTCCTTTTTTTTTTCTGTACTGGGGAATGAACCTAGGCTCTCTCCCATGCTCAGCTATAGCCCCAATCATGTCTTATCAAGTCTCAAGTTAAATATCTTCATTAATAATTTCAATTTTTGTTTTATGATTCATACATCTGAAGCCATAAATTTCCTTGTAGATACCATTTTTCAAACAGCTGAGATAAAAGAGTGAGCAATGAAGATTAAAAATATCTTTATTAGTCATAACATTGAAAAAAGAAATGGCTGATTATCTATTGGTTTGTAATTATTGAACCCTAGATTTAAGCTGCCCTACCTACTTAGTCATAGTGTAACTAATGCAACATCCAGGCCTCCTCCTGTAAAACTTCTCTTAAGGAGGAAGAAACCAGAATGTATGTAGACTCCCAAGACAAGGAAAAAGATGCCACAGCAAAAGTTCAGATAGTGAAAACCATGATTTAAGAAAAAATAACAAAGTCAAATGGATGCTTTAGGAGGGCAGATTGGCACTGTCATAGGGGAGACAATGAAAGTAGAGACCAGAGAGCAAATGGAAGCACTAATCAAAGTGAAAAAGAGATTCTAGATCATGAGAATCTTGGGTTTGTGTGCCAACTAGCAATATGTCAGATTTTGCTGACATAATTGCTCATCTTCCATAAACACACATAAATTTTATCCAAAGGGTTTGGGGTATTTTTCTTAAAGTTAATATTGTATATCAGAAATGAGATACTCAAGAGTTGGAAGGTAATTAGGAGCTACCATAGTGGCAGCTCAGGTTTCAGAATCACAGGTGCTAAGAGTGGTTTTGACACCCACATGACAATAGGAGTTTGGAACTTCAGCTCTGGTTAAAGTAGGGAAATGAAATTGAAACCCACCTTAATAGCCAACTACACATACCGTCTGGTAAAGCCAAAAAGTTGGGAGAGATGTTCAAGGACATTGGTGGCATACACCTGGAATCCCAGCATTTAGCAAGACAGAATTGCCACAATTTTGAGATCAGCCTGGTGTACAAAGAGTTCCAAGCCAGCCAGGGCTACCTAGATTGTCTAAAACAAAATAACCAGGCCTGTGCCACAACATTGTGTAGATCATATTTATATTACGTATGTGGTATGGGAACTGCCAAATTAAAATATGAAATCTGTGCTAAGATCAATGAATTTCTCTGTGTTCCAACAAAAATGAACAGAAAGTATCTGGGTTATTTCTATGATCTGGGGTACAAAATTCTAGATGCAGGGGTACTGGTGTTCCTGGACACACATGGAGATGGGTCACTTAGAGCTACTGGGTGCAGCTTTTCCATCTGCTGCTTCCACACAGCTGTGCCATCCAAATGGAAAATTCCTGATCATCCTGGGTGGTGCTTCCACTAGCTCACAGCCTCCACACACTGGCCACTGGTCCTGCTGCTTGATCCTTCCCCACTTGACCACTTAAAGGTGTTTTCCCTTGAGCCAAGTCCTTCTTCCTCCTCTACCCCATCAAAGTTCATGAAATTCTATCACCTGCTGAGGAGCTATTGGCAACTGATGACTGCTGGGGGTAGTGGATGTGTTTTCTTCAGAGATGCGCTCCAGAGAGACTACCCATGCTTCAGTATATTGTTCTACACCCATGAACACTAAGTGGACTAGTGGGTTTCAAAAGGAGCACATTAAGTTGGGAAGAAATAATGATGGGGATAGGGGAGCTTATTGGAGGGGATCAAAAGGGAGGTGGATTTGATCAAGATGCATGTTTGAAGTTCTCAAACATTAAAAAACCAAAAAGGGGGGGGGAAATGAGGCCCTTTTTGGGTGTAAAATTATGCCTCCCCAAGTAACTATTTTTATTTATTTTTAAATATTTTATTATTTTTATGTGTAAGAGTGTATTGCCTG